TTGTTTGGCGGGTCCGGGCTGGGGATTCGAACCCGCCACCTTAGATGTACGTGGCTGGCGCCTTAGCCAGTTGAGCTATAGGCGCCGAGCCCAGAGTCACTTTCTGTTGCCCTTGGCTGGAATGCTGTGGCATCAGAGCTCATTGCAATGTCTGGGTTCAAGTGATCCTCCCATCTCAGCCTCATGAGTAGCTAGAACTACAGGTGCCCATCACAAATTGGCCTGGCTAATTTTTTCTATTTTTTTAGTAGAGATGGGCTCTTAACTCTTGCTCAGACTGGTCTTGAACTCCTGAGCTCAAGTGATCCTCTCACTTCAGCCTCCCAGAGTGCTAGGAGTACAGGCATGAGCCATCACGCCTGGCCTACCCATAAGCCATAGCCTTTTGAGGTAGCTGTGAATAAGATAGTTACCAGCTTATTGTTGTTTGGTGTACATGTTTTTGAATATCCACGGACCATCTATTTGTCACTGGGGTAATGGGAAGTTGAGGTCTTTCTGTACCAGGTGGTGGGCTTCCCACTGCAGTTATAACACTTACTTTGAGTCCTAACACACAGGAGGTGCTGGATTTGATAACAAATTACCTGGCATGTGGCAATCTGCTCTGGGTACTTTCTTCCTCTCAAAGTCCTTCACTTAGCTTTAGTCTTTCCTTCCACCTTGGAACTATTCCCATCTTATAGATGAGGAAACAGTTCAGAAAGGGTCATGATTTCCTCGAAGGTTTGCTAATGTGTGAGGGCTCTAGGCCTGGCCTGGAAGATTCCCATTCCTAGTCCAGGGTTTGTTCCCTTCTCTCTGGCCAGCTGTGAGATGAAAGTCTGGATTTTCCTGATTAGGGGAGGTGGGTAACTCATTCTTAACTCTCTTCTGTTCAGCCATCAGTTCATATGTGAAGTTATATGTCACATGCTAGACAGAACATCCAACATTCATTATTCACCAATTCTAAAAATATTTACTGAGATCCTAGTATGTGCCATGCTCAATTCTAGATACTTGGTTTAGAATGGTGGGCAAGGCAGACAAGACTCCTGCCCTCATGGTGGTTACAGAAGAGTAGGGAAGAAGGACAAGAAAGTAGACAAAGATGCACAGAATTTAGGAATTAGGTTTAACACTAGGGTGTACGAGGGTGCCCATTCATTTATGTGCCAGATGCGGTGCCAACTCATCATGTGATTTAGTCTACAACTATCCTCTCAGAGGAGTTGGCAGAATGAAGACATGGAGGTTCAGAGAAGCCAACTAACACTGCTGGTGTCACAGTCTAGGGAGGGAGGCTACTAAACAGCTAGTTTTCCACAGAAATAAGCACTCATCTAGCATTTGAATAAACAGAAAGGTGTCTTCAGTAGGCAGTGGGGAGCCATTGAAGGTGTTAGGCAGAGAGAGGAGTGTCCATGATCAGGTCTCTGCTTTAGAAAGCTCACCTTGGCCACAGTGTGGAGGGTGAGGAGGAGGTGCTCTAAGGTGGTCTGGGGACCCCGGTAGGAAGCTTTGGAGGCTGCCTTAGACTAGAATGAAGGCTGTGGTGGTGGGGGAAAGCAGGCAGGTTGGACCTAGTGAGGTTGGATAAGGTAGTTGAGAAGATGTGGAATGGGGCGTGGAATGTGGGGGATGCTGAAGAAAGAGCAGGTTTTGCTGTGAGGGGCTCCCATGTAGGATCGGGAGCCCTAAGTTGGCAGGAGTGACTGGTATGTGGGTTCTGTTCCCAGGGAGTCGGCGACTGGTGGACGTGATGGACGTAAACACCCAGAAGGGCACGGAAATGAGCATGTCCCAGTTTGTGCGTTACTATGAGACGCCTGAGGCTCAGCGGGACAAGCTGTACAATGTCATCAGCCTGGAGTTCAGCCATACCAAGCTCGAGCACTTGGTCAAGCGTCCGACTGTGGTAGGCCTGGACTGTGGTCCTCTCCCCTGACACCTTCACCTCATCTGCTTTCCTTCCTTCGCTGAGCCTTGAAAGGGTGTGGCTGCCACAGTGTGAGCATGGCTGGCATGGGTGGGGCCAAGGGTCATCCCCTGGGAAAGGGAGGGGGCATATTGGGTGCAGGGTTCTGGCCCAGTGCAGGCTGAGACAGGAGGAACAGGCAGACTTGGAGAGGGAGCTCAGCAGAAGGGCACGCAGAGCAAAGATGGGTGGTTGCTTTTGGCCTGGCTTTGGAGAAATGAAGCCCTGATGGTGGTCTGGCTTTCAGGTAGACCTGGTGGACTGGGTGGACAACATGTGGCCCCAGCATCTGAAGGAAAAGCAGACAGAAGCTACAAATGCCATCGCAGAGATGAAATACCCAAAAGTGAAGAAGTAAGACTGCTTGGCTGGCTGGGGGGACCTGGGAGGGGTGACCCCAGCCTTGAGGAGGCAGGAAGGGTACTCCTGGCCATCAGTAGATGTTTGAGTGTCCCTTTGTAGCTGTTTCTCTTCAGAATGAAAGGACTTTTCCCTGTAGGGACACACCTGGGACGAGTTGGCATCTTGCTTCCTTAGAAAGCAGGACTCTGATTGCTGCTCTGGGGCTAGACTCACCATCCGGGTGGCCCTTGGGCCTCCCCGCCAGCTCCCCTGCCCGGATGGGGTCTGAGCAGGAGGAGTGATGGGTGATGTCTCTGTGTGCATTTGTGTGCATGTGTCTGCATAGGCATGTGATTGTGCATGCTTGTCAAACATGTCCCCGCTCTCCATGTGACAGTGTGTTCCCATAGTGGGCATTTTCAGGGAGATCTGCCTATGTCGGACACTTTGGTTTGGGTGAGGGATGGGAGGGTCTAGTATTCCCTTGTTCCTTGTGTTGAGATCTGGGAGCTTTGACCCAGATGAACCTTTACCAGACAAAGCCCAGGCACCACTTTGTCACCAGATGTTTCGTAGATGGTGCCTTCAAAGCAGGGCATTGGCACTGGGCTGGGAAGTTAACTACAGTCTAATAGCAGAGACGTAAAAACACATAGTAACTGACCAAAAAGTCCTAAGACTGATTGTTTAATGCTAACAGAGGCACCTGCGAGGCCCTCTGTGTTCAAGGACTTGAGTAACAGACTTTGGGGAGGGAATCACTGTTGGGGCTCCCACTGATGCAAGCCTTTGTGTTTCCTACTCTATAAAGAAAAGGAGACACTGGCCATCCTAGGCAGGGCTGTTGTTCTGGGCTTCCTAGAAGAGCTGGCTGGAGGCCTGAATCCATTAGCATCTCTGCTCAGCCCTGCTGCCAGGAATGCCCCCAGGAGCTTCAAGGCTGTGAACTTTTCATCCACTCAGCCCTTAATTCAGTGCATAGCAAGTGCAGACTGTGTGCCAGACTTTGTAAAGGAAGCCAGCATGCCGGCCCTTGGGCTGCTCCAGTTTTTGCTTTTAAGCTCTCGTGCTCTCTCTCTCTAATTACTTTGTAGGCATTTTTCCTCCCCTCCAAGCTGAAGCTCCTTACATGCCTTGGATCCAGGCTGCATCAAAGGCAAAGACTGGGCTCAGATGGGGAGTGAGCAGGGCTTGTTTTCAGTGCCATCTGATGGCAGCAAAATATAGAGCCCCTGGGAAGGGGGAGTAAAACAAAGGACTAGACTAAAAGCCCCCACTCCCTGGATAGTATGCTGTGGAGAACAAGGGCTGAGGCACAGCTCTAGTGCTGGTAGGGCAATGGAGACAGGCCGAATGCTACTTGGCTGGTGTCATCAGGAAGCCTTCTTGGAGGACATGTTCAACCTGGGCTTTAAAATGACAGAGGAAATGAGAGAGAAGTATAGAGTATTGAAGGAATTGTGAGCTGGAAGAAAGGCTGCAGGACTCAAAGATTAGGTAGAGGCAGACAATGGCTCCTTGATTCACTCATTCATTCATTCATTTAGCAGCTGTGTCTTGAGCATCTGTTTGGTGCTGTGTCCTGAAGTACAGTGTGGAGGAAACCAGAAGAGGTTTCTCGTCTGCCCTTGTGGAGCTCACAGTGTGGCCCCACAGCTATGCTGTTGAGCTGTATGGGGGAGAGGATTCCTCTGGGTAGAGAGGTCAGGGAAGGTGTTCAAGCTAGGATCTGGAGAGTGAGAGGGGTTACTTAGGTGATGAAGATGAGAGAGCTTTCCTTTGGCTGTGTGCAGAGCACCTGGGATGGCAGGGAGGGGCAAGGTGGCCTGCAGAGTTGAGGCAAGTGGGGCTGGAGCTGAAGCGGAGTGCCAGGTGGGGGTGAGTGGGCCATGTGAACAGAGCCTTGGTGAGGTTCTGCATTTCCCCTAAGAACCAGTCACAGCCTTCTCTGAGATTTTAAGTGGAGAGGTATGTGTTTAGGTTTACATTCTGCAAACCCTTCTGCCACTATGTGGATGGAAGAGTATAGGGCAGAGATGCTGGTCTAAAAGAGAGAATGACAGGGCAGGAGTGGAGAGGGGAGGGAGGGTCCAGATGGATGTGTATTTAGGAAGGTAAAATAGACAACTTTGAGTGACATGAATTTCACTTATGTTATCAATGCCTACTTTGCCTCCCTGAGATATTCACTATCTTCACTTTATTGAAAGATACCTTGGCTCGGCGCCTATAGCTCAACCGGCTAAGGTGCCAGCCACGTACACCTAAGGTGGCAGGTTCGAATCCCCAGCCCGGGCCCGCCAAACAACAATGACGGCTGCAACCAAAAAATAGCCGGGCGTTGTGGCGAGCACCTGTGGTCCCAGCTACTTGGGAGGCGGAGACAGGAGACTCGCTAGAGCCCAGGAGTTGGAGGTTGCTGTGAGCTGTATGTCTACCCAGGGGGACAGCTTGAGGCTCTGTCTAAAAAAAAAAAAAAGAAAGATACCTTTAAATAGTGAGCTCTATTAATGTATTTAGGACCTTGTCTAATTACCAAAAAAAAAAAAAAAAAAGGCTCACACACTTCTGGTTTTTTAAGACCCCATGTCTTTGATGCATTGGGTGGATTGTGTGGCAAATAGATTTACAGACCCCATCATTGGCTGTGGGACTTGGGATCTGAGCCTTGTTAGGAAGGGAACTGTCACCTTGAAAATAGTCCATTTGTTTGGCTGAAAGGAATGCTGATTTCAGGTATCAGGTAATAAGCAAGGTAAAAATCCCACCATGATCAAGTCCTCTGGGGTTGTACAACGGTTCTGTGGAATTTAATTAAAATGACACTGTTTCTAAAAATCACAGCGCTTCCATGCGGAAGCCCTGGAGAATGGAGACAGCTGACAACCCACCTGAACTGCAGTCGGGAGGAGGGAAGGGCTTTCTGCCTGGCTTCGGGGTTTATGCTGTTCAGTTTTGATTTTGATGAGTTTAGGAGGCTTAGTGGTTTTCAGTTGAGATACTTAAGGCAATGGATGGTGATAGGAGTGGAGGGGGTAGTTGATGGCAGACAAAAGATTTGTAAAGAGTATGTTAACCTAGTAGTTATCTTACGCGCAAGACACTATTCTAAGTGGAGTAGGAGTGGGTGGACTTCAGTGAATAAAGCAAAGTCCCCACTCCTGGAGCCTATACTGTAGAGAGAAGAAACAGGCAAGCAAAAAAAGGAATAATATAATTTAGAAGGTGATAAATGTTGCAAACAAATATAGTGCAGGACAAAGAGGGTTGGGTTGAGTGAATACTGACCACATAATCATCTTTGTTTGGAGAGGTAGAACTCTTTGTCTTAGAAAATTTCTTATAACTATATAAATAGTGACAATTAAAAAAATAAAAATAAACAATATTAGAGGAACCTCATGTTTGTGAGGGCTATTTTTTTTTTTTTTT